AAGGGCAGTGGTCCAACCTGGCAGCACTTTTGGAAACAGGCCTGATGACATCTCACCTTCTCTCTTTTCCTTTGTAGAGAGATAGTACAGCGGGTAGGGCACTTGCCTTGCACATGGTCGACCTAGTTTTAATCCCACATACCCCATTTGATCCCCTGAGCATCCTGCCCCCACCCCCCAAGAGCAATTCCTGAGTGCAAAGCCAGGAGTAACCTTTGTATCACTAGATGTGGCCCAAACCCCTTCTCAAAAATTAAATAAAATAAGTAAATAAAAAATTTTATCGTTGTAAAATATACTTGACACAATATTGGCCTTCTTGGCCATGTTTAAGTGTAAACTTCAAAAATGTTAAGGACATTTTTATTGTTGTTCATCCATCATCACCTTCCACAGGTTAATTCTTTACATCCTGCAAACCGAAACTACACCGGTTCACCTCTCTGCCAGTCCCACACAATTTACATCTTATGTTTTATCTCTGCCTCTGATTCTGACTACTCTAGGTATCTCATCCAACAGGAATTATGTGACATTTGTCTATTTGTGGATGGCAAGCACCTTAAGCCCTGGACTATCTCTCCTTATACAATAGCAAGCATTGTTTTTCATTCTAGTAGTTGTAAGTATATAAATTTTAATATATAAATATCAAATTTGTAAACAAAACACATAATCCTTTCAATAGTCTCTAATTAAATATAAAGAATATTATCAAGAACAGATCATAGCAAGCCAAGTCTAATTTTGGTCCTGGTTCCACCACCGACAATCATGATAATGTACTTAAGAGCTGAGGCTCAGAGGGAGGAATACTTGAGCTGGATCTGAAGAGAGAGGAGCTTCCTAAACTATGAACAGAGCTGAGAACATTCCAGAAGGAGCTAATGACATGTTCAGTGGCTCTGAGGTGGCACAGTGTACACCTCCTTTGAGAACCAGTGAGACGTTAAGCCCAGGACAAGTGGAGAATACCAGCAGACAAGGCTAGAAGATTTTCATTTATATTTTTCATTTTGGGCATCTCCAAAGAGTTCCAGAAACATCTCACAGTGATTCTCAGCCAATCAGGCCAGAGATTTAACATGAGGGTCTGAGAGAGCAATGTTGCTCAAATCCTAGGTGCTGGAGACCAACAGGGCAACCCCAATGCTGCCCCCAGGGCCTCCAGGGCTGTGCCTGGTAGATCCAGGAGTCCCTGGGATGCTGGGGAGCAAAACTGAATCAGGTACCTGCAAGTCACATGCCCAATCCTTGTGTTCTCTCTACCCAGCCCTTGCCTTTGACATATCTACCTTCTCCTCTTCCTCCTTCTTTTGCTTGCAACTGTCCTATTACTAAAAATATGGCATCTGCCCCATGCCTTCTTCTCAGAAACCTTGCTCCTAACACTTACCTGTCTCTAAACCACCTCTGTGTAACGCTTTTCCTGAAATGAGCCACTCTTTTCAGAATGGAACTCTCTCTGCCTCCTCAGGGTTGGCTGCTACTGCTTCATTCAACAAAGGCTTCTTGAAGACCAGAGACATGACATGCCTTCTTAGGAGGGCATTGCAGCATAAAAATAACAAAACATGAAAATACATATTTCTCAGGGGACCTGGGGCCAAGTTATAAAGCTGAACATACACAACCCCCATTGCTGTGCAGAACACGTCATCCAGGCCAGGGAAGCTCAAGATCCAGGCGACACCCAGAGGAATGTGGGCAGGGTAGCTGGGGAGGGGTAGGGGGCAGGGGACAGAGCTGAGCTCCAGAGGGAAGAATACCTAAGCTAGATCTGAAGAGAAAGGAGCTTTCTAAGCCAAGAACAGAGCTGAGAACATTCCAGAAGGAGTGAACGACATCTCAGTGGTACTGAGGTGCAAGGTGTAGACTCCCTTTGAGAACCAGTGAGACGCCAAGCCCAGGACAAGCAGAGAAAAACAGCAGCTGAGGGTGAAAATAGGCTGGGGAGTGCTCAGAGCCAGCAACCCGGTCAGCTGGTTCCTAAAAGAGCTGGAATGGTCCTTCAGGGTAAACTGGGGCTACAGCACAAGCTTTAGACCAGTGGAGAGAAGGAAGGGCAGGACTGATGATTATTAGTGATTGAGACAAGTTCTGCTCCCTCTAGGCTCAAACATGTGCCCACCCTCCTTCTGAGGAGACTGAAGCCACCTCCACAGCCATGATTCTAGGACATGATGGCGGGCACTGAGTTGCTGGAACATGCCCTGATTGGCTCCCGATAACTCCGCTGAATACTTTCCTTCTATGCTTATGATAAACAGGATAAACAAATCCTGTTTACTCGAGCACAGAGACAGCTCTCCTCTCATCCTGAGCTTTTTCTGAATGTTTCCTAAATGCGGGATTTGCTTGGATGAGTGCTCCTACTTCTCTCCACCATCCCACAGAGCACCGCAGTGTGGGGCGAGAGGGCTTACCTGGCAGAGATGGGCAGACCCTACCCTGCCCTCTGCACACCTGGCAGCCAGCAGGCACCCCACAAAATGCGTGCAATTGCATCTGCACGCCCCCCATGCTGCAGGGCGGATGCCGTTGTGGTTACCTTAAGCACCACCACGTTCTGTGAAAAATATCTTTGGGGTCACAGAGCCTCTTTGGTGGGGTTTGACGTGTTGCCTTGGCACCCTCCACCCCACACTCCTTACCCTCCATTTCTCTGTAAAAGGGTGACACCATGGCTGACACTTTTCTGAGCAACAAGACTGAAATGCCTCAACACAGCTATAGTCCACTTCCTTCTGGGAACTTGGCCCTTTAGTCTCTGGTCATGACAGGCTCACAAAGAGCTGTTTGCTTCCCAAGCTCCCGACATCTGCAGAGACCCTGACTTGACACTTTATCAGCCACGGGGTAGACTTTCAGGGCTGGCATTCTCATAGCCACCCTCCCAGACTGTAGTCATTAGCCATCAGGGCTGTTCGACCCTCCTCACGCAGTGGGAACAGAATACAGAGCACAAGAGGAAACTGCTTTCTCAAACAATGGTTGCCATGTCAGTGAGCTGTCTGGACTCAGCTTTCCTTGCCATTCTCATCCATGTGAATCAAGGCGTCTACACACGGTATCCACACAGCGAAGGACACATGCCCACCTCTGCACCTAGGGGATCCATGACCTGCAAAAGCACCATTGCCAGAGGGGTTCCATCTCCGGGCCCCACCATGCCCCATTTGCAAAGAGGGGCCCATGTTTAATGATGCAGATAGTTATACCAGTCTTACAAGTCATTGTAAAATGTGAGAAATGGCTTAAATGTTCGTTAAGAGGACATGTATCATAGAATTCCATGTGAAACGTACCCATTCACTGTTTTGGAGACAACCCCAGGAATTGAACCCCGGGCCTCATACATGCACAGTGAATGTTCTGCCCCGAATCCACATCCTTGGCCCTAAAACAAAGTATTTGAAAGAAGGGAGCTGTTCTGAAAAAGTGGAGCTAAAAGCTTTCCCTCTTTTGTTAGACAAGAAAGGCAACTTCCAGGACCAGGAGTAAGCCTTGAGTACTGCCCAAACAAAAATCTCAAAATATAAAACATTCGGGGGCTGGAGCGATAGCACAGTGGGGAGGGCGTTTGCCTTGCACGGCCGACCCGGGTTCAATTCACAGCATCCCATATGGTCCCCCGAGCACCGCCAGGAGTAATTCCTGAGTGCATAAGTGAGGAGTAACCCCTGTACATCGCCGGGTATGACCCAAAAAGAATATATATATAATATATGTATATATATATATTATATATATATATATATATAAAATTCAAAACTCCATCTTAGAATAAGTGGCTTGGGAGAAGGGGGTAGGGGGTTGGAGGTTGTGCTAGTAGTGTGAGGAAGAGGAGGACATTGAAAGTCATAATGAACAAGAGCCCACACATCCAGGAAGTCTGGCCTATGCTGTGCTGTGATGCCTGGGAGTTCTGGAACATTGCTCACTGACCCCTGGGTACCAACACCCACAGCAGCATGAGGTCCATTACTATGAGGCTCAAAGGGGAAGGCTTAGGAGCTCTAAATAAATAAATAAATAAATAAATAAATAAACCTGAGAGGAGGGCACCCCACAGGGCGAGGACACTTCAGCAAAGCAATAGACCAAAAGGAAGGGGATGTGTGCGCCAGGGCCAAAGGGGAAAACTGCTTCCACACAAGCACTTGCCCAGGACTCCCTCCCGTGGAACACCCAGAGCAGCAGGACCCCGGGAATGAGGCCCAAGGCAGGTCTCACAGGGGGAAAACAACATAGACCCACGGAGCCTAGAACTGCAGTAACTGGGGCCCTGAGAGTAGGAAGGAACTGTGGAGTGTGAGGGAAAGGCAGGGCGTGGAGCTGACGGAGGCTGCAGGCACCAGCTCCCAGAGGATCTGCTCGGTGGCCCTGGTGACACTGGCAGATCAACTTTCTGGAATAATGAGCACAGTGGGGCCCTGGAGGACTAAGAGAAGAGGGACTTTAGGGCAGGGGGATGCAATGCCCGTGTCCCCCTGAAAGCCTGCAGGTCTGTGAGGAGGGTGGGCGGCAGGGAGAAGGCCCCAACTGCCAGGAGGTGAACAATCTTCACTCCCTGCCACTCCTGCTTCTAGAAGTTTCTCCTCTTTTTGCATCTGCTGCCTTTTGTCACTGCCTGGTGCATACACAGGCCCAGGGTCATTTCCAAAGGCTTCTGCTCAGCGACCCAAAGGTCACCAGGGACTCAGGATGCCTGGATGGCAGTTATCCAAGGATCATGCAAAGCCCCCAATTCCACGCATGTGGTGGTGCTGGTGGTGGATTGGTGGGGGAGGTGGGGGGGGTGGAATACTGGAAGGTGAAACTGCAGAAAGGAGGCAACTGTCCTAGGCGGGGGATGGAGGGGTGACATCATATCCTCTGAACAACCAGATCAGGCGGGGCCCCCAGAGGCCAGGCCTGGGACAGGAGGCGGCTCAGTGGCTTGTGGCCCCTTGCCTGTGTGCTTCCAGCACTGCGACCACCGACCACCCGTAGCAGCCATGGCCTGGCCGGTGCCTGCCCTGCTGCTGCTGCTCGCCCTGCTGCTCCGTGAGTCCCCCCTCGTCCGGGCAGGGGGTGGGGGGCTGTGGGGTGGGGATGGGGAGCTCGCGGCTTAGTCCGCTGTCTGTCCCCACAGACGCCGGCCCCGCCTACCAAGAGTCCAATGTGTTCCGGATGCCAAAAAGGCTAGTGAAGGCCAGGCCCGGCGACACAGAGAACCTCAAATGCCAGGTGCTGAGCACCCAAACGTCGGGCGGCGGCACGTGGCTCTTCCAGCCCCGGAACTCCAAGGTCAGCCCCACGTTCCTGGCATACCTCCCCAAATCCGGAAACAATGTGCTGTCCGACAAGTTCAGCAGCATCGCGGCCAAGAGAGACGAAAACATGAAAGACATATACATCCTCACCCTGAAAAACATTCAAGAGGAGCACGAGGGCTATTATTTCTGCATGGTGGTAATCAACGCCATCACGCACTTCAGCCCCTTCATAGAGGTGCAGCTGCCAGGTGCGCGCGGCTCTCTCTCTCGGTGCGGGTCCGGGGACTCCTCTCCAGGCACGCATCGCCCCCCCACCAATTCCCGTCCGCCCGCCCGCAGCTTTCCAGCCTCTTGGGTAGGGGTGGGGGGGTTCCCATTTCGCAATTGAGAAATCTGAGGCGGAGGTGCGGCCGGGTGGGGGCTGACGATAGGAAGCTGTGCGGTCCCCCCGGGCACGAGCCTCCGAGGGACACGTGAACGGTGATCACCCCTCTTACCCCCGCCCCTGCTCTCGAGGTTGCTGCTGGGGAGGGGGTGGCCAGTACGCCAGGGGGGACACACCGAGACGCGCAGACAAGGGTCGCGACGGGTCCCGGTCCGCTCTGCCCACCCTGACCCGAGCCCAGCTCCGCACCCGCGATTCGGGGGGCACCCCTCGGCCAGTCCAGCCTCCACTCCGGTCCAGCTCGCTCTGTCGCGCCCCCGTAGGGAAGATCACCACGCCCGCGCCGCGCCCATCCACGCCCGCAAGCACAGTGAAGCAGCAGTCGCTGAGCACGACTGCAGACACCTGCGTGCCCACGGAGACCCGAGCAAGTGAGGAGGGCTGTGGGAAGGGAGTCCCTACGGGGGGAGGGGGCTGTCCGGGAGTGGCGGGGCCGAGACCCCGAGCCCGGGAAGGGAGCGGGCGGTGCTGGGAGGGGATGGTGGCGGGTCCGCTGCTCAGCTCCTAAGGGTAGCTCCGCTGTGTGGTCAGGGCGAAAAGGCGTACTGGACTTGTCCTGTGACACCTACATCTGGGCGCCTCTGTCCGGGATCTGCGTGGTTCTGCTCCTCTCGCTGGTCAGCGTCCTGGTTTGCTGCCGCAGTAAGTCTTCGGGGTGGAGGTCGAGTCACCCGCGCCTGCGGGGCCCCGGCGCATTTCTAAGACGAGTCTGTGCTTGGGACGAGCGCCGGGACGCTGCCTCTGCGCGCGCTGCTCCCGGGGCGCGGGGCAAACTGTGATGCGGGCGCCTAAGTCACAGCGCAGGGTAGGGAGCTCGCCTTGCGCGCGCGGCGGACTCGGGTTCGATCTCTGGCATCCCATATGGTCCCGGACCTCAGCCAGGAGTGATCCCTGCGCTCAGAGCCAGGAGGAAATCTCAGTACCTCTAGGTGTGAGCCACAAACAAACAAAACAAACAAAAAAAAGCAATGCGCTGAGATTCCCCTTTGGATCCCTCCAGGAGGGGGTGGGGGGCAGGGAGAAGAGAGACAGAGAGAGAGAGAGAGAGAGAGAGAGAGAGAGAGAGAGAGAGAGACAGACAGACAGACAGACAGACACAGACAGAGAAAGAGAGACACACTCAGAGGAGATAAAGAAAGAAAGGGAAAGAAAGAAGAGACAGAGAGACACACAGAGAGAGGAGATTTTTAAAAAGGGAAAGGAGAGAAAGAGAGAAAGGAAAAGAGAAGAGCGACAAAGGGAAAGAAAGAAAAGAGAAAGGGAAAGAAAGATAAAAGGAAGGAGGAAGGAAGGAAGGAAAGAAGGAAGGAAGGAAGGAAGGAAGCAAGGAAGCAAGGAAGCAAGGAAGCAAGGAAGCAAGGAAGGAAGGAAGACAAACCTGGAAAAGAGGGCAGCCTTTTTGGAAACCTTGGTGGGGCAGTGACTTTACCCTGTTTCCTTCTCCAGGGAACCAACGGAGAGTTTGCAAATGTCCCAGGTGAGTCTCATATAACTCCAAATCCTACTAACCCTTGACAGCCCTGGACATAAGTCCTGGCTTCCAGGAGCAGGTATACGTTGGCTCCTTTCCAGAGAGAGGCTCTCGCTGTGGACTCCTGGGAGCCAGGAGCCACCATTGCACACCAGTATAGAGGCAGGGGGCTGCCACATGTGGAGTCCTGAGTTTGTAGACAGAAGAGTCCTCTGACTTCAGTAAGTCTCCATCTTATTAAGCTTTATAACAAAATCCATCCAACTAAGCCTCACTTCTCAAAAAACCCAATATATCCGTCTGGAAGATTCCAGCTGAGTTTGAATTGTTTTCTTAAAACTCCCCCTTCTCCTTTCCCTTCTCCCACCCCAAGGGAGATATAAGGCTTATCCCTGGCACCCCAGCACAGCTAGAACTGATCACTAAGCACAGAGCCATGAGTAATCCCTGAACTCTATCTTACTGGGTTTAGTTTTTTAAGTCAACTAATCTTTTACCTCCTAACTCAAAAGAGGAAGGCCTCAGTCCCCCATTTGCCTGAACAGCTGAAGGGCCTTGATTTGTTGTTAAGACTGGAATGGAAGAAAGGGGGCCAAAAGGAGAAACAATTCAAACAAGTTCCCCATTTAGTTGCACTACATGATCATTCTAAATGATCAGATTTAAAAAAAATAAAAAAGCCAAACACATGCCTGGAATGGATGCCTCAATCTCCCCTGTATGTTTCAGGAGAGATGCCCTGAGAAATAGATCTCATTCCGATCTGACAGGCCCAAGGTGCATGCAGCCCACACTGTGGCAGGGTCACCAAGATCTAAAACCCCAGGTAGTGAACAGTAGAGTCCCAGGGCACTGGTGCAGAGACCAGAAACCCCACCTGGGATGGCAGTCCTGGGAGTCCCCCAGATAATCAATAATTAGATGAGCAGGGCACCCGTTATTTGCTGTAAGTAGACTTGGTCTTGTTCTGCAACCACCTTTCAAGAGGTAACTAGGGCCACCGGATGTGGAGTGACTCAATCAGGGCCACCGCACAGGAGCAATGCAGGGACATCTCCCCGGGGCTCACACTTCTCCTGGCAGTCACATCTCTCTGCAGGAATCCAAATTCTGTTCTTCTGTTTCCTCACCACCACCTCGAACCACACCCAGCAGTGCTCATGGCTCTGCACTCAGGGATCACTCCTGGTGGGGCTCAGGGGGTACCAGGGATCAAATCCACTCAGCTGCATCCAAGGCAAGTGCCCTACCCACTGGACTCTCTGTCACCCTGGCTCCAGGAATCCGGATTCTTTACTTTGGATACAGCTTTTTTTAAACAATAAAAATGTAACAAATTTCCAATGAATAAATTATAATAAGATGCTTAGGGGAGAAAAACTAAAAAATGGAGGATTTTTAGCATTTTTTAAATACTTAAAATGCACTTGGGAGCTTTGGGAAGAGAATCATCCCTTAATTCACTATTTGGGGCTAGGGGCAGGGGTCTCTAGAGTGGAGCTTAGGAAGCACGGAGGCCTCTCCCAGAGATTCTCAGCCCACCAGGTCAGCAGTGCAAGGTGAGGGCCTGAGAATGGGGTGCTGCCTGTAACATAGTGCTGGGGGCTGCCTGGGCAACCCCAGCAGTGCTTGGGGTATCAGCAGGATTGACCACATGCACCTTAACCTTCAACCTCTGTACTATCTCTCCACTCTCCAGCCCCCTCCTCTCCTCTCCTCTCCTCTCCTCTCCTCTCCTCTCCTCTCCTCTCCTCCCCTCCCCTCCCCTCCCCTCCCCTCCCCTCCCCTCCCCTCCCCTCCCCTCCCCTCCCCTCCCCTCCTGTTTCTCTCTGGTTTATGGGTCACACCAGGCAATGCTCAGGAATTACTCTTCGCTCTGTGCTCAGGGATCACTCCTTGAAGGACTCAGGGGACCAAAAGGGGATGCTGGGGATTGAATCCTGTGCAGCTTCATTCCCGTAAGCGCCCAGCCTACTGGACTATCACCCCAGCTCCCCTTATCTCTACCTTCCAAATGGAAAGTTTTCACTTAAAATGAATGAGAATAACAACTCTGCCCTGCAGAATCTCTGAGGAGTCTACTGAGGGGCCACTGAGGGGCAGGTCAGCTTCAGCGGAGTTTCTGGGGGACCATGTGCAGAGTCAGGGCACCCAGGATACACACCCCCTCTTCAGAGTAACAGCAGATACAGACTGTCAAAGGGATTGGGAGATAATGTAGCTCCACTGGGCTGATGGTGGTTTGGGTACATCCTCCCCCATGACTGTGATCCTCAGCCCCTCCCCCACTCCCGGGTGCAGAGAATAAGGTCAACTGATGACTTTGCTATCAACCTCCTGAAAGAACTTGACAAAAGCTGTGATAAGTGAGGCAAACTAGACTAGTTGGCCTCACCACCTTTGATCTGTGCCCCTGCGTTCCAGTCTCTCCCTCCCAGAGCCTTCTCTACAGATGGCCATGAGGAAGAGATAAGACAGGATGGTCATTCACCCAGCCCACATTGGACACATGCTGCAGTGCATTGTGGGAGCTCTTCCAGCAATGATGGTCCCTACTTCTCTTTCAGGCCCCATGTCAGACTGGGAGGCAAGCCCAGCCCTTCAGAGAGATCCGTCTAACATGGCCACGAGCCCATGCTTCGGCCACCTCAAGACTTCAAACGGAGAACTCTCCTCTCGAGGGGCACATCTGTCCTTCCCTTTGGTTCCCCCCCTCCCAGCCTTCCTTCCTTCCTCTACATTCCTTTCCTGATCATTCCTGGCATGGGTGGGATGGGCAGGATGACTTTTTCTGTGTTTTCTTTGACACAAGACTAAAGAGCGTAGTCTGCAAAGCACACCACACATGTGCTTGCGGATTACCGGGGGGAAGGGGCAGGCAGTGCACCCAAGGGCTGCGGTCTCAGAATGCTGTCAGCACTGGTGGGGACTTCACCCAGCACCCACTTTGTGCAAACCTCTTCCCCTTTTTATTTTTTAAATTTTTGGTTTTCGGGCCAGACTGGAGGTGCTCAGAGTTTACTCCTGGTTCTGGTTCTGTGCTCAGGGATCACTTCTAGTACAGCTCAAGGGACCCTATGGGTTTCCAGGGATCTAATCTGGGTCTGCCACATGCAAGGCAAGCACCCAACCTGCTGTGCTATCGCTTCACACCCATTTTGCAAAGGAAGCTACAGGCCAGGGACGGGGAGAGCGTGATCAGGGTCCCGGTAAGGCTTAGGTGCTTCCTCCATGTGACCTCTAACCCAGTATGTCTCCTCTGGGTCACCTTGTCTCAAAGCGCAAGAAACAGGGGATTCCTGCAGACCTGTTTCTGGATGGAGGAAGGCATGAGAATTCTGGTCTTTCACAGAATTTTAGAATGCAGTTGAGTCCCATCAGTTTTTCATAATCAACCTGAGAATGAAGATGGGGGCAGTAGGAACCACTCTCCTTAAGTCACCTACTACAGGCTTGGATCCTGGAAAATGAAAGACTTTGTCATTAAAGGAACTCTTCGTGACATCCCAAAATGGAGTCAAAATGGTCTCTCAGCACCTGGCCCTGCAGAGGGACCCACAAAAGGGGACGACCCCTTACAGAGGTAGTTTGAGCATCCAAGAAAACTCTAAACGTGAGTTGCCCTATCTGAAATTGGCTGGGAGAGTTTTTACAGGCTGTGAAGGCAAGACTGTGAGAGAGACAGCAGACAGCCTGCCCCCCTGCCCCCCAACTGAGATCTGTGGGTGTAGCAGAGCAGACTCCCATGAGGAGGCTCAGAACCCCGACAACTGCTGTAGTCACACAATTTCCTGTCCTAGGGTGTTGTACAGAAATGCCTGCTCATTGGGAAGGGCGACAAGGATTTCCTCCCCTTAGGCATGGTCAGTTGTGAAGATTATCGTGTACTTGCACCCTGATTCTTTTTTGTGCACTTATGTAAAATAAATACTTGGATTTTAAAAAGAGGATTGCATCGTGCTGTGCTCAGTGATCTTCATGTGCAGATCTGGCCTGCTTTGTAGGGGCAAGACTGTGTCCTGCTTTGGTTGTGTCGTCATTAGCTGTTGATCAGCGTTTGTTTCTAATATTGCGATAGTAGAAAAACTGTCCTAAAATTTTGCACATTTCCCTTTCTTGAGGATAAAAGTAAAATGACTGGGTCAGAAGCCACTGCCCCTTGGATTTCTAACGGACTGGCCTTGGAGTGAGGGCATAGCCCACACGGTTGGAGCCCAGGCCTTGCTTGTGTAAGGCCCCGAGTTCAACCCTCACCACTGTGTCCCCCAGCACCAACTGGTGTGGTCCTGGTGTCCGAGCACTGCCATTCTGTCTACTGTCCGGTATCTGCCACCAAGACAGGCAGCTAGTGGGTCTACCGGTGGTCATAGGCCCTAGCTCTGCTAAATATATAAAAGATTATAATTTTTTATTATAAAATACATAAAAGATTATGTATTTCCTTATATATAAACACCCCTCGATAAATAAAAAATTAACATGCTCTGGTATCATCCTTTTAGTTTTTCTTGGTAACAGATGTTGTATCTCCTCTCATAACAGATCACAAAATCTTCATTGTTATGGTTGTAATATGTGTGTGTTGTGGATATATGCGCTTATTTTATTTTTGGTCTATACCTGCTAGTGTTCAGGGATTACTCCTGGCTCTGCACTCAAGGGACCACTCCTGGTAGTGCTCAGGAAACCATACTAGGATGCCAGAGATGGAACCAGCGTCAGCCATGTGCAGTGCAAATGCCCTGCCCGCTGTACTACCACTCTGGCCCGTGTGTGTGTGTGTGTGTGTGTGTGTAAGTGCACAAATTCTAAGTGTACAGCTCTAAGACATCATTATGTGAAAACATAATGATGTAGCCAGGTAAAGACAGACTTTCCCTGATCTCCACGACTTCCATCACCTTTTTTTTCCCCTCCCCTTTTTCTTATGTCAAAGGACACCGGTTTACAGTATCCTTTAAGATTTCTGTCCCTTGGGTATCTGATCATTGTATAATCAAACCCAAGCACAAAAAATTGTAAATCTACAACTGTACCTCATGGTGTTTCACAAAAAAAAAAAAAAAAAGATTGGAGCAGAGGTGACATAGGGTCAGAGGTATAGGATTTTGAGCACTTTAGTGGGGGGTGTGAAGTCACCTTATACATCATTATCAATTTGAACATGTTTACAAAAAAAAAAAAAAAAAGATTTCTGTCCCTTTTCTCCCCAGCACACAAACACCTGCATTGTGCTGCTCACGCACTTTGGCACAACCTTCATTTATTTTTTGACCTTACCCAGATTACCAATGATTCTTTCAATTATCTTATTTTTAAAATTTTTTTTTATTATTAGTGGATCACCATGAGATACAATTAGAGTTATAAACTTTCATGCTTGCGTTCCAGTCACACAATGATCGAGTACCCAACCCTCCACCAGTGCCCATTCTCCACCACCAATAATCCCAGTATCCCTCCCACAACCCCCATCCTATCCCCACCCCCTCCTGCCCCACCCTGCCTCTGTGGCTGGGCACTCCCTTTTGTTCTCTCTCTCCTTTTGGGTACAACCTTCATTTAAGGAAAAACAAATTTTTTAAAGAACAGAAAGTGAGGGAAAAAGGAGAAACAAGAACAGAGAGCCTGGCTCCTGCTTCTCTTTCTCAGGCCCTATGAGAGACGTCGGATCCATGGCCCCTCTGGGAGTGTTTCCCAGCAAGCTGAGCCCTCCTGGGGTCCCCGTGACTCTGGGGGATGCAGGGGTGGAAGTGTCCAAAACGGGTGAAAAGAGAGGGTAGGCATACAATGAGGGGTGATCCTCAGGAGGAAGAGGGGACACTGAAAGGTGAAGAGGTGTCAAGCACCAAGCCCTACAGTACTGTAAGCCACAGGGTGGAAAGTTATTTCAAAGTGTCTTAGTGGGTGGGGGGGGAGGGAGAGGGAGAAGGAGGGTAGGAAGGAAATAGGACCACTGGGGGGAGGGAAGCGGACTTTGGAGAGCAGGGATGGGTGTTGAAACATTGTATCCCTGAAACAAAATCATAAATAACTTGGGTAATTTAAGGTGAATTACAAAAAAATAAAAAGGAAAATAAAAAAGAGGTAAAAGAGGTGGGAGCTGCTGAGGGGCAGCTTGGGGGACTCTGGCAGGTTAAAAAACAGTCATTTCACACCCCTTAGAGAGGTTTTCACCTAATTAAATAGTAAACAATAATTTGTTGAATCGAATATCAACCACCAGCAGTCCATTCTGGAGGTGCCCACGGACCTCGTGGAGAGTCATTTGCTCTGAGGTGAAGTGACAGGAACTCATTGTCAGGCTTCTTACACCCTCTCCACTCACCACCCTCCCTCCCCCCCCCCCCCCCCCCACACACACAAGAAATGTGACACTGGAGCAAAAGCACAACGGGGTAGGGCATTTGCCTTGCACGTGGCCTACCGGGTTCGATTCCCAGCATCCCATAAGGTCCCCTGATCACCACCAGGGGTAATTCCTGAGTACAGAGCCAGGAGTAACCCCTGTGCACTGCCAGGTGTGACCCAAAAAGCAAAACAAAAAAAAAAAAAAAGAAAAAAAAGAAAGAAATGTGACACACACCAGAAGCCTGGGGCTCACTGAGTTTAACTTCATCTTTGCTCAAGGCCTGTTCAGAAACCTTTTTTTTCATTGTTGCCAAATCTCTCTCTCTCTCTCTCTCTCTCTCTCTCTCTCTCTCACACACACACACACACACACACACACACACACCCTACCCCACTTACTTCTGTGAGCAATGCAGTCCCCACCCTCCCTGTAAGCAGAGCACTTCTCTCGGTCCCACCCAGCAAGGGACCCTGTGCCCAAAGCTAGCGCTGGCTGCTGGCAATGCACCTGGCTGTGGGCAGCTCTGTGGCTACCATGCCAGTGGTCAGGCTCCACGCTGGCAGGAAATGTCCCTTTTCCTGAGATGCACGACGGCTGAGCGTGGCCCAGACTGAGTGCAGGAGTCTGTCGCTTCATGCTGACTGTGCGGGAGGCAGCGCTGGGTGGGGCTGGGTGTGTGGGATGGGGGTGGGTGGAGGCTGAGGCCTCAGCAGAAGACTCAGTGCTCTAGCTGGCTCTGCCGGGCTGCTCAGACCTGATGGGGCTGGAGCCAGCAGGCAGTGCTAGGGATGGCCCCTGGGTGTCCCCACGGAAGACACGTGCACCTTCTCCCCAACTACTTTAAATTGTGTAGGGGCCACATCGAGCAGAGCGCAGGGTATACTTCTGGCTTGGTGCTCAGGGGTCACTTCCAGCAGTGCTGGAGACCAAAGCCCTTTGAACCATCTCTACGGCCAATATCTGGGCTTTTTTTTTTCTTTTTGGATCACACCTGGCAATGCACAGGGGTCGATGCTTCAATGCTCAGTGGTTACTCCTAGCACTGCAACTCAGAAATTACTCCTGACAGTGTTCAGGGGACCATATGGGATGCTGGGAATTGAACCCAGGTCGGCCGTGTGCAAGGCAAACACCCTATCCACTGTGCTATCGCTCCAGCCCCTGCCTGGGCTTTTTAAACAAACAAAAACATGTAATTGTTGATTTTTCAAAACTCTTCTAAAAGAAATTTTTTTGGGGGGTCTGAGGATCCAACCCAGGGTTCATATACCCAACACATGTACAATTCTGGTAAATTACACGCCACTCTGAAATTATTTCTTGGAGGTTTTGGGCAACTGGTGGTTCTGTGCTCAGGGGTTGCTCCTGGCAGGGCTCAAAGCCAGGCCTCCTGCATGCAAAGTATTTGTCCAGCCCACTGAGCCCTCTCCAGCCCCTAATTTTATACCTGATCCTTCTACCATTGAGTTCTTTCCAGCCGCTAATATTATAGCTGGTCCCTCTATTTTCTGACATTGTGAATGGGACCCTAATTTAAACAATGGGTTGAAATGATTTCTTCTAGTAAACTATGATACAGATAAAATGTTTCATGTTTTTTCCTAACCGCAGTAGAAAAGGAGAAAGTCAGTATTTCCTAGAAAACATCAACACTAAACACATTTTAAGACATTAAAGCAAAGAAGCCTGACACTTTAGACAACTGAAGTCTGCGTGTTGACATTTTTTTTTTTGAGTCACACCCTATGATGCTCAGGGTTACTCCAGGCTCTGCACTCAGTAATCATTCCTGGTGCAGCTCTGGGTACCTACGAAATGCTGAGGATTGAGCCCAGGTTGGCATGTGCCTTACCTGCAGTGCCATCTGCCATCTCTCCAGCCCCCATCAGAGAGGTGACTCCTGGGTCAAAACACCAGACAGCAACCTCTTCATTAAATTGCATTTTCCTCTCTTCATCCTGAGACTGAACTTTGTTCATTCTGCCCCTACAAGTCCCATACATACTAAGTCACCTTCAACAAGCTTCTTCTCCTCCCCATTTTACAGCCCATTAACCACAGAGTGGGCTTTGTTTATGTTATGTGTGTATGTGTGAGGGGGGAGTGTCAAGGAGAAGTGGATTTAGGCCACACTCTGGGGTGCCAAGGGCTATTACTGCTTCTGTGCCTGAGCACAGAAGACTGACCTCTGGTGGTGCTCGAGACCCTGAAACGCTGGAAATGGAACTGCAGCACTCTAACCACTGCTCTCTCGCTCTCTCTGGCCCCCAGAATGGGCTTTATTTGTAGAGAACTTAGTGCATCCCTGCCATCTCTCCCCTCCTGCCACTACAGGGTTCAGAATTCCACTTTACTGTATCTTCCAGCAGTCCCCACACAGGCTTCAGACCAAGCAATCTAATCTCAGGGCTGTGCTTAAAAAAACCTTGTGCTAAAAGATTGAAAGGTGCCATACCACAATGTTAACAACAACAAAAAAATTTTTTTGCATCGAACAGGCCTTTGTTTATTCGAAAAATTATTTTGCGCCAGCCAATATTTGGCATAAAGCACCTCTACCTCTCTCAGCTGGAAGAACAATTCTGTGTATTGGGGTTTTCAAAAAATTTCCTTAATTGTGCTTCTTGCCCCCCTCCCTTTCTGTTTTGGTGTCAACGGTGCAAATATCCATTATTTTACATCTTTCGTGCTCATCCTTCCCTGTTTTGGCAGGAGGGAATGTGGAATGTTTTGTCCTGATGCAAATGCAGTACACTCCGATTGTTTGAAAATTTCAAGAAATACACTGCCTTAAAATGACTAAAATGGGGGGAAGGGGGGAGTGGTGGGAGGGATACTGGGAACACTGGTGGTGGAGAACGGGCACTGGTGGAGGGATGGGTACTAGATCATCGCATGACTGAAATGTAAGCACAAAAATGCATCTCATGGTCATTAAAAATAATAAAACGACAAGAACAGCCTCCAGCACAAGCTAAATTGAACCCCCTTTGATGATTCAGGGCTCAAGGCATCAGAAAAGCCATATTTGCTCCACACAGGATCCCAAACTACCACACGCAGAGAGAGGACACATCAGAAACAGGGCAGCAGCGGGTTCAAAGGCAGGACCCAGGAGTGAGCCCTGGCACTGAACTCTCATGAGCAACAAGAACAGACCCCAAATCAAAGAAAACTTGGAGGAGCACTCATGAGGTGCCTATGAGGGAAGCCCATTTTCATGACCATGCAGACTCGGACTGAGGCCTGACACTCACATCTCAGAGTCCTGTGTGGAGCAGTGAAACACCACCCTCCAACACCCCCCTCCCACCCCCGGTATCTGGGACACTAGCTCCAAACAGGATTGGGTGGGATGCACAGCGATTCCCAGCACTAGGAGATTTCTAAATCTCCATTCAATATGTTTCTCCTGGGGCCAGAGAACTAGTACAGTGGGTAGGGTACTTACCTTGCATGTGTCTGATCTGGGTTCAACCCCTGGCATCCCATATGGTTCCTGAGCCCAGCCACGAGTGATTCCCGAGTGCAGAGTCAGGAGTGACCCCTGAGCACCACTAGGGACTGGGTGTGATTCAGATACCAACCCACCCCTCATCCGCCAATAAAAGATGCAGAGGTGTGAATAAAGCATTCCCAAAACACATACAATGTCATTGCCTCAAAATAATACATACACTTCTCCCTCTACACGGGTCCCCCACACCCCACTGTTCTCACGCTTACTCTTGTCTCTGTGCTCAGGGATCACTCCTGGTGGGATCGACCCTGGATCATCTGCATGCCAGGCAAACACCCAACCTGATGCACTCTCTCTTAGCCCTGCAGATTCTTGCTCTTGACCTCCTTGCTGGTCATCGAGTGAGAAAGACAACTGGGTCTCTGCTCCTCTCTGGCAATGCTCAGAGCACACAGCACACTCTGCTCATGAGTGCAGCAGCTTCCTTCTAGTCATCGTTACTCTGGCTAGAGCAGAACTGGGTCCCAGCCGGCCACAGAACTGAGGAGAGGGAGCCCAGGAGCATGGCGTCTCTAGTTCAAGTCCCTACTTAGAAACGGGGGATCGCCAGCTGCCACTCAGTGGCCACCAAAGGCCACATCCCTTCCGCAGCTATCCCCAGCAGTGTCCCCTCCTCACCACGGGCACCACTGTGGTCCCTCTCCCTTACGCCTGCCACACTTACACAGATTGGGTTCACCAAGCGGATTTCAAATGCGCATTTCTTTAATTTAAAAAATATACACAGGAGCAGTCATGTGTCTTACATAGGAATATATACATTAACAGAGCCGATTTTAAGAGTTTTCCAAAACCCTAATATATCAGTTTGAAATGTATAAATAAAATCAGAGTGGTTTAAGTTAAAGTAAAATCCCTGAAGCTACTGGACATGATAGGATTGTTTCCAAAATCAAATGAACAGAGAATATGAATATGGTTTGTGTTAAATACAGTTTATTGTTAGCTTTATTGCCTATAGTCTATAAGATGCAACTTTATTGTGCCTTTGCAAACAGGATACATTTCTTTAAAAACTGATCCAAATGTTCCATACATATAGCTCTATATGATAGATTACAGTGCAACACTATTTTTGTTACATAATTATAGAAATACTATAGAACCCAAGAGCACAGGGTAAGCAAAAGAAATACAATCCTGAGCCATCTGAACAAGATGATTGGGTGAAATCTTTTAGTGTAAGTTCAGAAACACAGAGGAGAAAACAAAATACATGCGCACTGCAGCTGTGAGCAAGATGCGTGAACCGGCTGTTCCGAGAGGCCACGGGGCAGTGGTGAAGTCTCAACGCATGCGCACTCACTCACAAGTCCGCTCTCCCTGCTTCCCTCCCACCCCCATACATTCACTCCCGTCCCCCCTTCCCCAAACAAAATATCAGGCACTGAATCCTAGTAAATCCCATATCTGCCTTGCTGGAGAGCGGTCAAGTGACTGGCCAAGTCAGAGCGCGGGGCCTCCCCACACCACGAAGCAAAGCCTGTGCTCTGAGCCAAGTCCAGCTGCTTCTGTCTCTTTGGAAGCTCAATACAGTTGCAAACTGTAAAGGGAAAGGTCTTGAGAACAAAACTTTTTTGTTTCCTCTCCCTGTGTCTCAAAGTTAAAAGTCACAGCGGAAAACTCACTCTAAAACTAATGGGCTGCTTCACCTGCAACTGAAAGAAACGTGTCGTTTTATTTTTGGTATCTATTCCATTGGTGTTCACTCAGAACAGTTCATGAAGACTTACTTACTTGTAGCTGCTTCTGGTACTACTGTACCACATAAAACCTGCCACCGCTGGGGTAGGCTTCTGAAAACACCAAACCGCCTCTGTGATCCTTGCAGACATTCCCGCAAGGCCACAGGATTCTAGGGTCACCAAAGATAATACACGTAAAGTAATGAAAGGTATTTGGTCTGTGTCTTTGCTTGACACATTCTGGTGATGAAGCTACCCAACCATGCTTCCACGCCTTCCCTGAAAATAACCTGAGTCTGCTAACTACACAGACTGACCAGTGTGACCGCCAGTCTACTTAGTCAGAGGTTGAGCTGGAAAACCAGAGAGTTAATGTCTACCAGCAGCTGTCTTGTGCATGTAATAAGAGGTCTCAGTTTCTGCAGTTATCTACTGTCCCAAAGGCTGAGATCATTGAGGTGGTGGTAACTCACAGCATGGAGAACACTCAACTCAAACTACAGAACAGGTGGGACTACCCGGAGTGAAAAAAGGATCCTCATTCCCCACGTCATACGTGGGTTTTAGTGTCTCTGTATACATCAGCCACTATGGAAAAACCAAAATATTTACTTCATAACTCTTAATTTCAATTAACTGCTCATACACTACAAAATACTCACGCACCCTATGAATATGAGGTGACTCTTTTCTTCAAAGTCCTTAAAAATCAAGAGGCACCAATACCCGTTCATTGTTGTATTAGAAGTCTCATAATCACCATTAAAACAAAAGCAATGGCATTGTGATGATCACACAATGGAGAAAGAAGACTGAAGACAACCTTAGCCACTGTACTTCAGCTTGAACAGAAGCACAGACGCGCTGGCTACGGCAGTCAATGGATGTGACAAGAAGGTCTAACTGATTCCGCGTAGTCCCATGGTCTTTGTCCATGACCCAAAAACTTCCTAGGAACTGCTTCCATTAGGAAACCACTCAGAAGTCCTGTTTTCTGTGGATAACCTTAAGGAGCCTTCGCTTTACTGTGAACTTTGGAAAGTGGAGGAGCGTGGGTCTCAGCGATGGCGTGGCGGCTGGTCTCCACTGTTGGCAAGTTCTTCCAGAGGTGGGGCACGGCATGTGACTGTCGCTCAGCATCTTTGGTCTGATCTCTCCAAATCCACCCCTCTTTCACATTCTGTCTCCAATGAGCTTAAAGTCCATGCATTTAGTTGAAGGTCACAATACATCATTTTCACGTTAAATGATCAGCTCAATACGAAGTTTAGGCCCTAAACTCTGCCCAGTGGGACTATAAAAGACCTTTCATGGGAAGCTGTCAAATCAAACATGTCATTTTTTTAAAAAAAGTTTTATTAGCTGCACAGAAAACTGTTGTCAACAGGACCCCCCCGCACCCAACACTGGGACAGGAAAAAGCAGGAGGCTGTTTCTGTCTTTGAAAGTGGCCCAAGGCAAGTGTGTGATATGTCCGGCCACCAAAATATTCACCGCCAGCCTCTGTTCACACCTCATGTGACACCTGAATATTGTGTAGGTGTTCTGGGTGGAAAGGTGAGAAATTTGGCTTAGCAAAAAGGAAAATGGGGGGGGGGGGGGGGGGAGTAGATGACATTCTGAGTTTTAATTCAAAGGGGGAAAAATAAATAAATAAATGATTACACCATTTTTCCAACCTCAGACAGGACTACGTGGAATCTCTCCCTTCACTCTGGGCAAAGAGCTGCACTTTGTTCTCTTTCTTCAATTGCCTGAGTGGTCAGAGTGGGAATTCCAACAGGAAAGTAGGAAGCTACAGCAGAAGGTATGGTGCGGCCAAGATGAGCTGGATGAAGCCTGTTCTGAGCCAGGCTGAGTCCTGGCCCAGCCCCACGGCATGCAGCAGGCCCCAGGTACACTGAGCACCTGGCGGCAGCCTGCCCTGTACACCAACACCGCTGCGCCCAGGAAAACACTCAGGACAAACCATGCAGCTGGCAGAAAACTGCATGTGCTGCCGGTTTTTAATTCAGTCAGCACCAAACCCTCACCCCCCAATTGTAAAATGTGAAGGGTTTCTCTTTCGCTTCTGTGTTTTTTGTTTTATCATGGTCAAGAATGTTTTCCTCTGTTAGTATTCAGTTCCACAACTGTTGAGATAAAGTTGCAAAATATTTGGTGGTTTCCACACAACACTCTTCTCCTACTGAAGTAACTTCATGGGTTTAAATCAGAATCAAAACCTCCCACAGAGAAAGACTCTTACACATGGCTATTCCCAGACAGTGCATTCAATGAAGATACCTCCCGAGAAAAAAGATTATTATCCATATCCATAAGAATAATATAGATTCACAGTCAATGAGATGATACACTATGCAGGAGAGAGGCATTGAACAGTATACTATTCAAATACAAAAAGAAGAAAATAGCAATAAGCATATTCCGCACTACAGAAAATTTGCTAGCTTCTATGACATGAAGGATATAAAGTGAAAAGTCTGGCAACTGCATTTTAGGTCTGGAACATGCTTCCCTCCAGATATACAATATCCTGATGCTGGTGCATACACACACACTCACACACACACACACACACACACACACACACACTCACACACACACACGTGTGCGCACACACATCATCACTGTGTCTGCAAAATACAGGTGCAAGACAGAGTTAAGTCCTAGAGGCAGAGTTCAGAGAACAGGACTACCAAGACTAGAAGAGCAAATATCAACTTAACACTTCTAACTTCAGAATTTCATTTTATTGAACACACTTCAAACAAGCACCTCTCAGCAATAAAAGCAAAGAAACAATAGTGCCCCTTCCGCTCCGACCTAGTGGAAGGCTTCTCACAACCACCTGCTGAAGTCAGAGTGGCGTTAACAGGGCAGCCTGCTGGCACCCAGGCAGGGCTCAATGCAGGCAGGCCGACTCCGCTGGGAGCCGGAGCAGAGGGAAACATCAAAAAGCAAACTGGGATTCTATCACAGCTTTCTTCCTTAAGCAAAAAAAAAAAAAAGAAAAAAAAAAGAAAAGAAAAAGGCCAATTAGTTTTAACACAATTCAGTTTTTTCCTCAAGCCTTTTTCTGAAGAATTTTCATTTAATTGTGTATATACAGAACTGGAAATAAAACTTTTCCACAAACATTCTCAAGGCTTACAATTATCAAGAACGTGACAAAAGTAAAAGCAGGAGAAATAGTAAACACATGGCAGGGAGGTCAATTTCTGTTTCTGCTCTTAAAAAGTAAAAAAATCACCATATAATTCAGTACAAAAACCTGCATTGAATGACAACTGCTGGTGTAGTTACTTGATCAGAAATGAAGACCAAGAATAGAATAAAGCCCTATGATAATATTCATCTGAAGCACTCCCCTCAGTGTATGTGAACACTAAAATGTTGGCAAAGTTTCTGGAGCATTAGCTTATATCAACACGGGAGTCCTTGGTTAGCTGCATTAAATGGAACATTCTCTTCTGAAATGCACCCAAAATTCAGTTTCACTTACAAATTGCTAAAGTTATTTCTTCAGAAAAATATCTGCTTGGCATCTCCTGGACTTTGTTCCATTGGACAATACGGACATTTTAATCTGAAGACAAGAAAAGAGAACAACACGAATCAAGGCAAAGAATCAGCCGGTGGCACTCAGTTTTCATCTAAATCTAGAGCATCTTTAACGGACACAAAGGCTCACATACAGCTATGTTTTGCTTTCTTCGATTTGCAGTGCCTTTGCTTCACTTCAGAGTCAAGTTTCCACAGGGTCACAAACAACATCCAACCAGAATCCTAAACTGAAGGTTTTTTGGGTTTGTTTTGTTTTATGGACCATACCCAGTGGTACTCAAGGGACCAAAGGGAATGCCGGGGATGGAACCCGGGTTGGCCTCATGCAAGGCAAACGCCCCACCCGCTGTCCTATCACTCCAGCTCTGAAGGCTCTTCTTCAGTAGAAATCAGTGAATTTGTCTCATAGAACAAAAACAATTTTACTGAAAATCGCTTTCACAGTTTCAGATGGGAATCCTATTTTTCTAATTTTCAGTTCACACTTGTCTCTAAGTGACTTGCCACAAACCTGATGCCAGCTGCCAAGACAAAAAAATCTCCTGCAGTCCAAAAGAGCTGCCTACATGCACTGTACTGGGCACACAGAAGCAAGAGCTGTGTGGTTTGAACCAAGACCAAGAGCTGGCACCAGCTCGATCTGCCATCCAGGGCCGGGTACCGTGCAGAAAGGACACCTGTAAAAGTTCCGACCTCTGAAACGCAGGACTTCAACACGAGTCTGAATAAACATCAATGAAAATATGCTGACAGCTACAAACAGGATCCCAAACGTTCTTAAGGAGTTGAGCTCACTACCTGGAAAAATCATGAACATCTCAGACCTCTGCTTCAACAATTTGCATTCTAGGGCTGGATATGGTGCAGGCATAGGTGTATCTCAAGGCTGAGTCACAGAAGTTCAATGAAATGTTCAACTTCTAAGTTCTAGCTACCTTCATTTATTCTCAATATCTCTTAGGTTCCCCGTGTTCCAGAAAAAAACATTATTAAAAAAAATTTGGGGGGTGGTGGAGAGCACACTGCAGTGTGCAGGGGCTCCTCCAATTTGTGCCCAGGGGTTACTCTTCACAGTGTTCAGGGGACCCTATGTAGTCCGAGATCGAAGCTGGGCCTCCAGCATATAAAGCATGTGCTCCATCCAGTCTACTGAATTCTCTCTCTCCCCCCCCCCACCTTACTCTCTCCCTTTCTTCCTCCCTCCTTTTTCTCCCCCATGCACTCTCTCTCTCTGGCCCCTGAAAATTTTTTTAGTCACATTTTAAAAAGTCAGACACTTACTTGCTACCATTGAACATTTTATTCAGGGCATCTCTTGATATAATATGACCACAGACCAATTTCATGGGAGGATTGTTATCTGTTGTTTGTTGACGAAGAATAGGACAGGCAAATATAGAGTGATACCAGCACTTTTTACCAAGATCTACTTCAATCTGTTAAAAATAAAAAAGACAAGTTAGATCTCACATGCTAGCATGTATGGAACAGCAGAGACCATTTGTCTCATCTCCTCTGCAAAACAGAACTTCCTATCAGACTTTTCTAGCCAGCTCAAAAATGGTCAATCTTAGGAATTCAAAGTATTACTTCATAATTCTAAGCTAAACCTCAAAATTATTCAACACTACTTCCAATCAAACTCAGACTCACAATCAAAGGCCAAGGAAATGCTCCTGTGGTCACATTCAAATCTGTTATAACATGTCCAAGAGCAAAACCCACTGGAAATCTAACTGCTCCATAGCATTTAGCTCAATGATAAAATTCAGTGTAACGATTGCATGGAATATAAACCAAACATGTGAGCTTCCCAAATTTTGGTTTAGTGGTCCAAAGAAACACCTAAAACAAGGGCCTCAAGTGGAAGTTTTGGCTGGACTTCTTATGAAGGTCCATCAGAATCATGACACTATCTATTAAAACAATTATTTTTGTCAACTTAAATGTAACCACCCCCCCAAAAAAAAAACCCCTATGAAATCCCCTATCAGGACAGTTAGCATGGGACAAAGGCTCTATAAATCTAAGTTCTACTTTCTTTCCCAGCGATCAAAATATCTGTTATGCAAACTCTTTGAAGAAAGAAGGTAAAATGAACAGAAAGTATGTCCTGACCATCACCTACCACTGTTCTATAATCCTCACATACGGGCTTTTGAGGAAGATTCTGGTCTCAGTTTGCTCTGTCAATGAGGGTCCAAGGTGCCTGCAGTGGAACTGGGAAAATCAGGCACTTGCAGGCACCCACCTCTGCAAAGTCAGTCAATGCTCAAACGAGCAGCACACAAGCCGGGGTGCTGCGTGTGTCCTGACCACACTCAGGTCGGGGAATGCACCTGTGCCTCTGATCAAACCTCACCTCTGAGGACAAGCTGTAGCCACCAACTGCCAAGAATTACAGCTGGAAAAACAAGGCAATGGCACATAACCCTGCAGAAAAGCAGCAGAGAGCCAAGTACATGGCCCTTCAGGGTCTATGACACAACAGTGACAGGAATGACTGATCATTCCAGGCAAGCTTTCATGCTGACTCTCAGAGGCCCCGTGGAGACACAGGGAACCATGACCTTCCTCCTCCACATCCTGGTGATTATGGCAGCAAAATCTGAGGACTGATGTGTCCCATATTATCCTAAGCATACCTATGTCAGAGAGATGACTTTAATTAGCAGCATGTACTTACTCTAACTGGTATTAGAAAAATATAACCAGTCCAAACCATCATCTCATAAATATCAATGCTTAAGGTAAAACTAAACAATTAAAAATAAATAATAAATAAAAATAAAATCCCACTGCTTTTCCGTTGTAAAACTATCAGAGCATGAGAGGACTACCAGCAGAATCCAGACCTTACAATTCAGAGAGCAGGGGGTCTGGGGAGAGCACAGAGGCCAAAGTGCCTGCCTTGCAAGGCCAAAGCCCGTGAGGCGAAGAGCTCTAACTCCGGCACCGCCCCATATGCCTGAGTGCGATCTCCTGGCTCTGCTGCCGGGAACCCCAGGGCCACAACCAAGTGTGTGACACCTCTGCCACCTGGGACCACGGGTGCAAGCAATGCAGCCAAGGGTGAATGACCTCCAGTCATTATGCCATTAGCAGCAGAAGGAAGGGAAAGGAAATATGTACACTTTTTAAACACATTTTTAAATGGCAAGATAAGCATGACCACCATATTCTTTCAATGGTAAGAACAGTGACAAAACCAAGAGAAGAGTAGAACTCACCGGCAGTTCATCTTTCTGGTTCCAGACTCCAGTGCACTGCCTCTGCTCAATCACAGCTTTGATGTTAATTAAAGCTGGCAGCGCCACACAACCTGCTGAGAAACTGGGCACGCAGAGGAGGGAACGTCAGGGCCAGGCCCGGTAGCAGACAGCGTGGCCTGGGAAATGGCAGTCCCTGCTGATTTTCTGCCTGGAGGGCCGGCCCCACTGCATCCGGCACGGCGCACTCCACCTGCAAGACCAGTGCTACCCCCAAAGGCCTTACAGTCAAGAAAATGAGCAGGGTGTTTGCTGCTCGGCAGCCATTCATCACACTCGGCATGAACATTAACGGCATTCCTCTTTTCTTGGGGGTGGGGGCGCACCCACCAGAGCTCAGGGCACTGCATCGTGCCAGGAATCAAACCCAGGACTCCCACGTGTAAAGCGTGTACTCTGGCTCCTCGACCTTCCCCCCAGCATCACACGCATCAGTGTTTTCTTGCATGGCTCCTCCAGACGCTCGGCCCAGGGCAACACTCATCTCTCAGATCTGCAAGAGCCCCCAGTCTCTGAGAACAATTCAGGACTGTTCTCCGCCCAGCTGCACTCCTAATGAGGCCCTCCCACAGGCAGATGGAACCCTGACAAACTGCAACTAATTCACCTTTAAACAAATAATTCTTGTGGGGCAGGATCCATAATACATCCGAGCAGGGCAAGTGCTTTGCAACGAGGCTAACCAGGGTAGGATTCCCAGCACTTCATACGGCCCAGGAGGGATCCCCTAGTGCAGAGCCAGGAATAAGTCCTGAGCATAGCTGGGGGGGTGGCCCAAAACACTGAAAACAACCCTTGCTACAATATTAAAAATGTTTGTATTGTACCTGTGGCTTTTGGGGAAAGCAACATGGCATGTGCTTTTGGTACACAATGTTACTACACCACACTTAACTCATCTTTGTATCCACACAATGCTGGCACATAGCAGGGATTAAAAACTCTTGGGGGGGGGGGGGGCTGGAGCGATAGTTCAGCGAGTAGGGCAGCGAGTAGGGCAGTTGCCTTGCAGGCAGCTGACCCTGGTTCAATTCCCAGCATCCCATATGGTCCCCTGAGCACCGCCAAGAGTGATTTCTGAGTGCAGAGCCAGGAGTAACCCCTGTGCATTGCCGGGTGTGACCCAAAAAGAAAAAAAAAAGTTAGAATAAGTGAAAAAGTATTTTCTTAAATAGACTGTTAAATCTTTCTGGGATCTCAAATCTCAGGATTATTTTTATGGGTTATAGCTATTGCTTATTGTGTCCGAAAATATGACAGAAATGAAGTATTAATTGAAAAACAGCAAACACATTACATGGTACCATAAATAGCATCACAAAAATAACTATTCTTTACAGAACATAACTTGCTAGAAAAGTGGCACTGTTTTTTTGTTTTAATTTTAACAAATCCCTTCAATGTCTGGCTTAATGGAAGACAGCTGGTTCTTCCTCCCTCTGCATTCAATCTATTTTGTAATTCAGTCTCTTGAAGTAAATGTAAAAACAAAAACCTAACCACATACGGATATGCAGTGTTTTAACTCTTAATAAAAATTTTTGTAAAAATTTATATAATTTCTTGCAAGCCACAATGCCCAAAGGGGTGGAGGAGGGAGGGAGGAAGGGAGGGTTTGGAAGGAGGGAGAGAGGGAGGGAGAGGGAGGGAGGGAGGGAGACAGACAGACAGACAGACAGACACAGAGAGAGAAAAGCACCTGTCATAGAGGCAGGGGTTAGGGGGTGATGGGAGGGAACCTGGGGACACTGGTGTTGGGATATGTACACTGATGGAGGGATGGGTGTTGGAACACTGTATGACTGAAATCCAATCATGAAGAGCTTTGAAAAAATAAAAAATTAGAAAAATCTATATAATTTCATGGTTTTTTTTAAAAAATAAAATTTTATGTTCTTTAACGCCAGACTGATTCTCAAGGAGTAATAAGCTGCTTAAAGTTAGGGGCAAAGTGGAATCTGTGGCATTTAAATTTTTACAGCCCACTACAGTAAAACCTTGTGTCTTGAATGAATCTCTTACTCATGCATGACTTTTGCAAGATCTACTGAATTAAGATCTTCCAAGTGTGAAAACATTTCACTACACAGTACCACAAAAATTAAACAATTAGCATGACCATCAATCCCCACCAACTAGAAAAAGCTATTTAGTAAGGGAAACTGTCAAGTTTATAATGATGGGTAATAACTGCCCAATTTACATTGTAGTTTGAAATTCTGAATTTTATCGTTATGGGAAAAGAAACTATAATACAAGAGAAGCTGTTTTCCTTGATGTGACAAGCTCATTTCATTAAACTGTCCACCTAAACTTGTGTGAATATTGTAATTTCTTTGGGTGATGCCCGAAAGCAAAAACTGTGTCCAAAAAAAAAAGAGCTTGTGTATAACTCAAATAACATAGAGATGCTTTTTTTGGGAAAATCATTACACTTTTAGCATAAAAGGCTTTATACAAACTTTTTATTTTTGGTTACATAAAATATTTTTAAAGTTCACAGGTTGATACTTAATAAAACTAATATTTTTACTATTTCATCGAGAACCACAGAAAGCAATGCTCAGGGCTTACTCCTGGCAGTGCTCAGGGGACCGTATGTGGTACTGTGAACTGAACCTGGGATGGCTGCAAGACAGGTGCCTAACCCGCTGTACAATCTCTCTGACCCCAAACTAATATTATTGTTCCTGCACAAAGGGCTAAGAGCATGCACTGCAGGTGGGAAGTCTAAGTTCAATCCTTGGTACCACGTGGTACCAGGAGCAACTCCCCACCAAGCACCAAGCTCGAAGGAGGCTCCAAGTGCTACCAGGTGTGGTCCCCTAACCAAAACAACTGCATTCTAAAACTGCAAGAGTACGTTGACGAAACAGGAGTGAATCCTCATGGCATTTGGGAATACTACCACAACCCGGCCCGGCTCGCTGGCAGATTTTGAGCACAATGGTGGGGGAGGAAGCACTTCTGTACTGAGCACCCAGCGCCTGTGAATCTGAGGTGGCTTTTAGAAGGGACGTTAGTGTCAAATAATGGCTCCAGTGGAACATTAATAAAAGCATATAAATGATAACCTGCAAAGGTCCCCAACGTGGCGGGCAACTGCCAAATAAGATAAAAATGGTGTGGGAGGACTGGAGCAATAGACCAGCGGTACCAGGAGTAACCCCTGTGCATTGCCGGGTGTGACTCAAAAAGAAAAAAAAAAGGTGCAGGAGGTGAAAGGGGTGCTGCTTCTCCAACCTATGCTAAGGAACAAGCAATTTAACCAACTAATGTTTTTAATGGTTCTGGGCAAATACCAACACTTTGGAAAGGATCTTAGGGCCCACGAGAGGTTCCCAGTCCACACTTTGAGCACCACTGCCCTAAAACAATGTCCTGGCCAATTACAATTACCTTTCAAAATACCAACTGCATTTTGTCTTCAGAAAGACAAGAGCTCTCTCAGCTCTGGATGTCCGGAATTCACTAACAAAACTCAGATCTGGCCCATGCAATGTGTGCGTGCAGTAACAGCAGGGACTAATTTCCATACCTGACACTGAGGGGGGACTCCACGGAGAGCCCCAGAAGGGCGCACGCATCCCGAGTGAAGATGTCACAGATGTCAGCCCACTGGTTGGCATCAAGCAGGTGAACATATGGCGAGTTCTCGATCCCTTGCCTCAGGTAGACGAGACTTCCCATCAAAACCTGGATGTCTAGACAAAAGCAGCAGCAACTTGGAGGTGTGAGTGACCATGCCTGAGACAGAGCTGAGTGCTAGGGAGCGGGCTGAGAACGGAGAGATTACAACTGGCAAAGCCGAAAATGATTTGTTACGAAAATGATTTAAAAGCCAGAGTCCTTGGTGAAGAGCTCTTTTTCCCCCTTGCCAAAACTAAAGACTAGCAGAGAGGGGGGTGGGGTGGGGAAGAAGAACTCGTCAGTACTCCAGCACTGACATCTGGGGGTTTCCTGTGCCACCCCCAGAGAACCCACAGGCATTCTGTTGTGGCAGTAACAGCAGCATGAGGGGTGGGGTGAGGTCAATACGTACAATGCCTTTCCCGTATCTCCTTTTAGTTTACTATGAAAGCCTTAAAAATTCAACTCTCTGGCCTCCTGGTTGAAAGGAGAGCGTTCTACTTCTGTTCTAGTAGCCACCAGAGAGCTTTTACTATGACTATCAACTGCTACTATTTTCATTTCCTAGCTAACATGCATAAACGTTGCAAATAAGATAAACTCAGTAAGTCGTGGCTGTAGGCCTGTTCCAAACAATGACACGTCTGACTTCAGACTCACCTTTTTGATGATTTAGGGCGAACGGCTGAAAATTTTTAGCGTACTGTAGTGCCTCTCGCTGATTCGTAGTACCGCCCATTAACAAGCTAATGAAATAAAGTCTGTGTAGCTTAAATTCCAAAGAACTGTTTTGGGCTATGAGCATTTCTCGATTTGATACCGCCCACCTAGAGAAAAAGCACAACAGATTTCAACTGTCATTAAGAGCAAAGACAAGGTAGGCAAAGAATGACTGGAAACCTAGGAAACAAAAGGATCTAGTCTGCCATCTTGTGGCGCTTGGAGGGAACAACGATCTGTAGGTCCAACACTGAAGAAAACAAGCCAGCATCACAATAGTTATACCTAAAGAGGTCTTTCAGGCAGTGAAAGTGGGGAGAAAATTAAGTAGCGTAACTGTTGTTTCTTAGGAAGATTTCACACAAACACAAAACTGAGGATTCACATGATAATCTGCATATATGGCCAAGCTGGAGCAGGTGTCAGACGTGACGCTTATTCTCCATTCCTGATATCCACTACTCCTTTCCTGTTAAACTGGCAAGTTTATAAATGAAGTCCACATGTCTGCATGGTACCATCTATTTTAAAATTTGTTAGGCTCAAGATTGTATGCCACTTGCTTTGGAATTAAAGACAGTCAATATGGGCATCTTACATACCAAGTGTTTCATTCTCACCTGCAGAAAAAGCTACATAATCTTAATGGGTTTTAGTTTGTTCACGCGCTACATCAAAAAGATTTAGACAAACACTATACAAATGAGGGAAAAATATTCTGCTTTAAATGATACAAAGTTCTGTGACTCAGTCCTCTTACAAGACAAACAACAGTTGGAACAATGATGAGTGGGAACGACTGGTTCAGATGGGTGATAAAACATTAAAGTACAAAATCAATTTTCCCATCAAGTGTTCATGTCCCAAACCATATTAAGATATAGAATCTGTTCAGTATCACACTCTTCTTTAATTGGACCTTTTCTCAGCCAGATAATTACTACCTAGGGGCTGGAACGATAGCACAGCAAGTAGGGCATTTGCCTTGCATGCATGGGTTCGATTCCCAGCATCCCATATGGTCCCCTGAGTACCGCCAGGAGTAATTCCTGAGTGCATGAGCCAGGAGTAACCCCTGTGCATCGCTGGGTATGATCCCCACCCCCCAAAAAAGTTAATGTCCCAAACCATATTAAGATATAGAATCTGTTTAGTATCACACTCTTCTTTAATTGGAACTTTTCTCAGCCAAACAGTTCCTACCTAGCCCAATTCACAACTATTCACAATCTCAACTGGGTATTAATATGGACTGTGAGTACCTCTACAAACTACTAGAGGTAACAGTTATCCACAACAAAATCAACCAACAGCAATCAGGATTCACAGAATTCTATTCGGTGATTCCAACCTTTCCCCCCAAAACAGGCCGCATCTGAAGAAGACTCTAAAGCATTCACACCTTGAAATCAAATCATAAAGCTTCTCTGAAGCCTCAACAATTGAAGAGTTTTTAAAGATTCAGGAAATAGGAGAGAGAAGAGGTTGAAATCCAGAAAAAAAGGAATTACATGTCCCAACTTGGGATGTGGGTGACTGCAAATGGAATGCCCAAATCAAAGTGATGTTTTAACAACACTAATCACCTGGAACTTGAAAATATTTAATTAAAATGAAGTAAGCCCTGGCTCATCCTTGGCACCAAGTTAGTTGTCAAGCTACACCACCAAGTCCTGTAAGCCACACTGACATCAACCAAATATACTTTTTTGGATGCCCAACAACATCAGAACCGAAAGCATAGTCGTATTTTCCAGGCATCTTTTCTGTTAAGGAGTATATTTAAATCAGGCCTGCAGAGAATGGGCTGCAGAGACAGGCTGCATTTGCCTTGCACAAGGCTGACCCAGCTTTGATCCCCAGCACCCCACCTGGTCCCCCAAGCCTACCAGGAGTGATCCCTGAGTATAGACCCAGGAGCAAGCCTTGAGAACTGCTGAGTGTGGGCCATCCTTCAACCCCCAAGAAAAATTAAGGCCACTTACCAAAAGTTTATCTTATCCTATCCCCTGTTCTTATTCATAACGTATTTCTTCTACTAACACACTGAAGCTTTTGATTTTTTTTTCCTGATGAGAAATTTGCAAGAACTTGTAGACTCACAAATTTTAAATAAAAACTTAAACTTTTGGCCCTGCCCCCCCAAAGGGGCAAAATTTGTAAATATGCAATTTGCAAAAGAAGAAAATAATGTACTTAATTTCCACCAATATTCATAATATAGTAATGTGAAAGGGGGAGGGTCATGATACAGTCAAAAACAAAAACCAGAACTTCGCCACCAGAATCTTTCATAGACACCACTCTAGGAAAATTGGGGTTTTGTCCATTGTTTAATCAACTGCTACGAAATCAGCAATGACCATGCGGGTCAGGGCCGCCAACAGTTCGAGCAGCACCAGGGCTACAAGCTCAGCAGGACCTCGGGAACCGAGTGAGCAGCAGTGTGGAAGGCGCATCTCTCCAGAGTCTGCACAGGCCTACATGTTCCAAGTGTTCTACAGTAAAGTGCACATCACAGCTTTACAATTAAGAAGGTAAACTTTTTTTTCATTAGGGTTGGCAGAGAAACAGCAATTTACTTTTCTTAAAAATCCAGCTATAGGGCTGGAGTGATAGTACAGTGGGTAGGGCATTTGCCTTGCACGGGGCCAACCTGGGTTCGATCCCCAGCATCCCATAGTAATTCCTGAGTGCAAAGCCAGGAGTAACCCCTGTGCATTGCTGGGTGTGACCCAAAAAGAAAAAAAAAATCCAGTGATAGGGCTAGGAAGTCAACAGAGGGCCAGCCCTAGTTTGATCCCAGCGCTGCCTAGCCCTGAAATCATAATGGGTACAACCTCAGAGCACTGCATCAGGAGTCCAGGAGCTGCCCAGAGCATGGCTGGGTATGGCCCAAACCACACTCCCCACCCTACCTTAAAACAAAACAAAACAAACAAAACAAATAAACAAAATGAGTTATGTCACTGATTTAGACCTGTCAAGTTCTAAGTGTATCCTGGGTATTTTTTTTTTTAAACACAAAGAGCCATTTAGACAATGTAACCCCTACTTCACTGTTTGTTTTTACACATTTTGTAATTTGGCCATAAGCAAGGCTACAAAGTAACAGGTAAAAATAAACTGTTGCAATTCCTGTTGCCTACCTCCAAGTACAGTGAAAGGAGATACTCATTACAAAGAGCTGGGAAAATGCAGGGAGAAAGTGAACCGACCCTAAGTTCAGGTAACATAATTGTCGTGTCTTAAAGTCATATTTCTTGTCATTCTAATATGAAACAAAAGTACTATTCCTCATTTAACTTCTTGGTATTATATTAAACCTCAATTTCAAAAGGTAAGAGACTAGAATAACCCTTTTTAAGTTCTCCCTCCTGGAAACTGTCACTTTCTAGATTTAAAATGTCATACCCTATTTTAACACATTCCTCCAAACATGTTAAATTCTAAGGTGAAATCTCTGTCTCATACTCCCAAAATAATGCAGAGGCGCCCACATTTGTACTTTCTTGACCCCAGAGTTAGTTGACTAGATAGATAGCACAGGTTTTCTTAAGTCACTTTCTGTTTTTCCTAATAAAAAAAACTTATCTTTTTGTCCATTATGACCACTTCACAGCCCTCCATCTTTCATTGTCTAAGTTCTTAAGGGGGCCTGCCTTCCTGATGATAAGGCAAATGCCTGCCTGAGCTATCTTTGGAATCCAGGTAAAAATTTCACAGCAGCATTATTATTTACATCAGCAGCCTCTCCAGCTCACTTAACATTAGTCAATTAATGACTTCTAGAATGATGAACGCCTCTTACTGGCAGCCAAGATCTTCCGCCTCCTTGTAATTAATGTTTTATTTCAATGAAGCAACTAACTTCAACACTTGACCACAAGTTTAGACAAACTGGTGAGGGCTGGGAGGTGGAGGGGTGGTTTGTTGGCAGTTTACAACCTTCAATCCAAAGTAGGAACAATTTCTCCATTTAAATCATAAGCAGCTTTCCGTTCCCAGAACAATTTCAGTGAAAAGGTGATGAACCAACTTTACCTTGGTTTTCATAGTCCTAGGATTTCTCTCAATATGCTTTTTAGCACAAACTCACAGGGGCCCCATCCTGGCTTCACACTCTAATCACATTACATTTCTGTTGAAAGTCCCTCTTACAACTTATCCATTTCTATAATGCCACGTGAGTTTAATGGGAAATGAGAAGGCAATACAACTACCCCACTGCAGAGGGTGGGACAGAGAACAGAGGCACAGTGGCCAATCACCAATGACTCTAGAAACAACTGAAGGGATTGGTTCTGATTGTGATGCACATCTGCTATTTCTGCAATAATCTGTGAACCGAAGAGCCAGCAGAGAAGTCTGTATTTTATGCAATTGCCCAGTTAATATACTGCAAGTAACTGAACTATAAATTTTTTAAATTGTTTTATTTTGTTTTGAGCCACACCCAGTAGTGCTCAGAGCTGACACTCCTAGCTCTACACTCAGGGCCTGGCAGGGCTTGGGGGACAGTATGGGATGCTGGGGATGGAACCTGGGCTGGCCATGTGCAAGGCCACTGTACTATCACTCTGTTCCCTGGTATATGAATTATTACTGAGGAATTTGTATTAAAGTTTGATATATAAAATTTGGGCAGAGTGGAACGGTATGAGATAAACAACCCTAGGTTCACCAGAGAAGCCAAAGACAAAAAACAAACAAACAAAAAAAAACAACACAACAACAAAAAATCAGTGATCAGGAGGTAACTGGATAAAGACAAGAAAAGAGCAGAAGTATACCATGAGGAAAGGTCTCAGTTTGAGGAATTGAGCCAAGCAAGGCTGTCTGCAGTCTATCATCACAAATCTTAAAGAATCAGAAAGATAGTAAGAATAGCTTTCTATTTCTTGCCAAGATCCCTACCCCACTCCTTGTCTTTTTTTGAGAAGAGGGAGAACTAGGACTAGGCTGGGAAAACAAGTTTATGCCAAGGAAGAAAGTTATGCAATATGAAAGGTGGGGATGGTGTGTGTGTGTGTGTGTGTGTGTGTGTGTGTGTGTGTGTGTGTGTGTGTGTATGAGAGAGAGAGAGAGAGAGAGAGAGAGAGAGAGA